ACTCGAGACCCTCCAGACTAGGCCATCCATCTTTGCCAGATGCATTCCTATGTGACTTCAGTGAATATGGCATGAAAGATGGTCCAGCTGACTCTTGCTCTGAAGTTCTAACCTGCAAATCTGGAAGAAATAGGAAACAAGTTTTTCAAGCTACTAAATTTTAGGGTGGCTTGTTAAGCAGCAATAACTGGGGCAGTAAATTCTTTCAGACTCACTTATTTTTCCAATAATATTTGCAATGAGACTTTTAATTACTGGTTACCAAGTAAATGTCAGTTTTTATCTTATCTTATCTGTATCTGTACTTTATAATTGAACTAGAGGCAGCTAAGACACTTGAAACACCTAATTCTGTTTGGAGCATATTTGATTCTGCATAAAACATTTTGTTTAAAAAATAATAATTGGTGGGCTGGAGATTTAGCTCAGTGGTGTCACTGCTAGCCTTGCAAGTACAAGGACCTGAGTTCTATCCTGGATACTAAAAAAATAAAATAAACAGTAATTGGTAACATGTATTAGCAATATAGTCTCTTAGCTTAAAAAGCACTTTTGGGATTTAGGGGAATAAATTAAATCAGTTTAATATCAATGTAAAATATCAATGTATGCCAAATTTTGTTTTAATTTATGTTAGTAGCTATGTTTCTCTGGAAAACTGTAATGTGATAAAAGACAAAATTGCAAAGGTGAAATTTTTTATGCTTAATATAGAGGCAACTTTAATGGAAAAGTTACAAAGGAAAGGAAATGAACTTTTATTGAGTCCTGCTATGTGCTGAGTACTTTACATCATGTCTTGACAATACTTTAATTTTTAAATGGGCTACCATTGCCTAAGGTCACTCAGCTGGTAAGTGGTAGGCTGGATCCACCTCAGTTTGTCTCATCAAAGCCAGTGACTTCTCCTTCCTAGGGTCTGTTCCTCTGAAAGAGCCAGGTCTCCAAGGGTAGTTTCTGAAAACCTACGCAATATTTTTGGCAGCCATGCAGAGCTGGCTTACTCATGTGTTTACTTATGAAATACAGCCCAATAATGAGTTGTATGGATGTTTTGCTACTTTTTACATATAATTTTCTCAGTAAGAATCTGGGGATAAAAGAGGGAATGCCCAGTACCTTATATATGTGTTTCAGAAGTTCTGCAACTTAAAAAGTATCTTATATAATGAATCTTTAAAAAAAAATAATACATACTTGCCTTCATTATAATCACCCTAATTTATGTTTACGGGATTTCCATACTCCATTTTCTTCAGGGAATCTCACTGCTATGATGGGAAAGACTGGTGTTTGATGTTTTATCTTTCCTCCTTTTCTTTGTTTTCTGGAGATTGAACCCAGCACCTTTGCTGACTTATATTTGCAGCCCTTCTTTTCAAGTTTTCATTCTGAGACAGGGTCTCACTAAGTCCTTGAGTTGGCCATGGTGGCATGAACCTCCAATCCTCCTGCCTCGGCCTCCCAGAGTGCTGGGATTACAGGTATGTGTGTAAACACACCCAGCTTGATGTTTTGTTTTTATTTGCTTTTTTTTCCCTAGTTGGGCTGAAATTGGCATCTTGTATTGGTCCATCTGAAATTGACAAATACTGCTAATAATAAGCACAACTGTTAAAAAAAAAAAATCACAGCTGTACAGAATCTCCCGTATCCCCGAGGCTTGAACAGAGACAGTAGTTGAATGTGGTGGTGGGATGTCTCTCGACACAATCCCCTCATGTTCCCTCCGAACTCACAGGGTGAGTGAAACACTACAGCGTGGGGTGACCCCTACTGTGCCTCCTATTTTCTGGTCTGCAGAGTCTGTACCCTACGATGGGTTAAAAACTCAGATGGTGACAATGACCTGGGTTAAAATCTTGGCTGCCTCTTCCCAACTTGGTAATCTTCCCTGGCTGTGCCTCACTGAACTTGAACTCCCAATTGGTTGTGAGGATTAAATGACTCAATTGTTTATGTAATGTATTTGGAACCATGCTTGGTGACAATTAAAGTGCTACATACATATGAGCTGCTGATACTTTTTCCTTCAGGCATTTAACTAACAGGTGCCCAACAAAACAGAAAGAGTGAAAGAACTTGAAGCCACTGAGTAACCCCTGCACTGCAGCCTCAATTATGAGTGGTAACCTGGTGAGACTGAGGACTGGAGCCTTGCGCCGTGGCAGGTGCCTGATGTTTATGAGGCTGATCTTAAGGCTAATGCCCTAGGCCTGGAGGCAATCATCTCTGATAAGCCACAGTTATTTTAGTCCATTTTGTGCTGCTAGAACAGCAGTCTTGAGACGGTATTATTTGTAAAACAGAGATTTATTTCTTACATTTCAGGAGGCTGAGAAGTCCAAGATCCAGCCGTGTGTGGGAGATTCTTATTCATCATCCCATGGTGGAAGGTGGAGACAGGGAGATGGGGGGGCAGTTTGAGGAGAAACAGGAGGGAAGCAACTCATCCTTCTATCAAAAATTATCCCCTGGGGAACAGCATGGATCCTTTAATGAGGGTAAAGTCTTTGTGACCTCATCACCTCCTCTTCTTCATCACTGTGCTGAGGATTTACCTTCCAACACAGGAACACTGGATACACTCAAACCAGAGCACGTGCAAGTATAATTTTATGAAAACAGGGCCAATAACCTAGATGAAAAATCTCTTGACTAAGTTGGGATGATTCTTCAATACCTAGTCGAATTGGGAAGGCAAGGGACCCAAAGGGACCATAATTTTTGACCGATTCTAGTTGCTCATTCATCCAACAGTTTAAACTATTATTGTGCACATTATACCAGGCATTGCAAAGATGCAGGAGACCCCACGATCTCGTTGGAGATACAAAGAGGATTCACGCTTTCCTTCAACAGTTATTTACTGAAAACCTACCATGCCGTAACTTCTAAGCTCAGAGTTGGGTATAACGAACAAAGCAGACCAAAGTCCCTGTCCTCCCAGAGCTGGCATTTCAGGGAAGAGAAGGACGATAAATGAAATTAGCATTATGCATATAGTCTCCCAGTTGGTCAGAAGAGCAAAGGAGAAACACAAAGCAGGAGGGCTTCCGCAGTGTAACTGATCACTGCTTTCAATGCGGATAGCGAGGGAGGGCTTCATAGTGCAGTGGGAAACTGCAGGCAGGAAACACGGAATAAGCTCAGCCCTTCCAGTCCCCACCCTTCTTCAAATGTAGTTCTCAGAGGGCAGAAACGTTATTTTCTGGTGTTCACTGCACGAGGGACGCTCTCTGGATACAGACCCGGAGGACAAGCAATGGTTGAGCACCAACTAGGCTCCCTCCTTCAGCATTTACTGAGCACCTGGCCCTCAAGGCGCTCACGTGGTCACAGTCGCACCACACCACCGCACCGCGCCTGCACTAGGGGCTCGCGTGTGCCAGGGCGGCCTGGATCTTTCCTAGGTGACCTGTGAACCAGTGGCTCCGCGACTAGGCTCAGGCGTTAGCTCTGCAGGTGGACAGGAGACCGAGCTCACTCCCCCAGAGCCCCAAAGCCCAGCTCCCGGGTAAGTCACACGAAACTAGGTGACGACCTCTCGCAGGGAGCCCAGGGCGTCTCCGAGCCCTCGCC